CCAGGCAGTTTCCAGCCACTTTTCCCCAGCCTGGAGCCTTGGCCTTGTTGAACCTTCTCCAGGTGACCTTGGCCCATCGATCCAGCCTGGCTAGATCCCCCTGCAGAGCCTTTTCTGTTTGCTTTGAGTTTGTCACACTATAAAACACCATTCTGATGAAGAATTTCTCTAGACTTAGGCAGATAGGAGCCTATTGGATGACTAAATCACCTAAATCAGATGATTATCACTGCAAAGAGCCAAATGATAGTCACTGGTTTTTTTTTTAAAGGTGCACCTTCAGTTATGTCATTACCTCAATCTCAATTTTTTTTTTAATATTTGTATTTTCCTTTAAAATAAGAGTGTGGTTAAAAAACAACACAGGAGGCTGAATTCAGAGTGATGATCAGGTCACCTCGTGTCAGGTGAGCTTCAGTAACTCCCAGCGTGCAGTAGGCACAGCATAAAATGGCTTTGGGTGATCAGCAATTAAAGAGATTCTAATCAAACCACTTTATCTTGGTCTTGCTGTACAGTGGGATTGTGCTAATGCAGAGATGCTGTAGTTTAAATGATGCTTGAAGTATTAATTGTGAATCTGAGTCTGCAGCTCTTCAGATAAGTGGGATGTCAGAACATTGTTGAAATAGCAAATTTCAACCCAGGGAAATGAAAGAGGCAAAAATTGAACTTCAGTAAGCAGGCAGGTTTTTTTTTTTTTTTTCCTGAAGTTTAATTGTGATAGGGGAAAAGTACAATGTCATTTTAGTTAAAAAAAAAAATAAGCTCCTATAGTTTCACCCCCCTGCCATGGGCAGGGACACTTCCCACACAACCAGGTTACTCCAAGCCCCATCCAACCTCATCTTCAACACATCCAGGGATGGAGCATCCACAGCTTCCCTGGGCAGCCTGGGCCAGGGTCTCACCACCCTCATGGTGAAGAACTTCTATACATCTAATCTAAATCTCCCCTCTTCCAGTTCGATGACATTAGCCCTCATCCCATTCCTATAAGCCATTTTAAAAAGTCCTTCCTCAGCTTTCTTGGAGGCCCCCTTCAGATTCTGGAAGGCTGCAGTAAGTTCTCCCCAGAACCTTCTCTTCTCCAGGCTGAACAACCCCAACTCTCTCAGCCTGTCCTCACAGCAGAGGGGTTCCAGCCCTCAGATCATCTTCAT